TCAATGCCATATGATAGAACAAGGTCAAGAATTCAATTCGATTAAATTTTATTTGTATAGTGCCAATTCATAACAGAGTGTGATTAAACAATGAGTGGGTTTATTTACACTCTGACAAAAGCCAATTGAGTCTATTAATGAGATAAATTACTAAGGCTGTAATTGTCAACATCCACATGAATATTAAAATTCTGTCTTCAGCTGTCTCTATCAAATAAAGGCAATAGAGCAAAAAAAAAAGAAACAAACTCCTCAGAGAGAACTCAGGTTCAGTCATTTCCTTAGAGTCTGTTTATTGATCTGACGGAGGTTCATATGGATCATAATCTGAATATTAGTGTAAACACATCCAGTCAGTGTGTCTGTCTTCTAGCTCGAGCACTCGAGTTTTCAGCTCAAGTGTTGACGCTTTGGTCCCAACTCAACGCCAGCGAGGGTGCTGTGGAGGAGCTGCAGAAGAAGAACTCAGGTCTCCGTCTGCCTTTCATATTTCATATATAGCCAGCAGTTACTGGATCAACACCAGTATGGACACTGGTTTGTCTCTGGTTGCCATGGTAACCCTGTGCTGGTGACTCCACAGCGCTGGCGGCAGAGCTGCCGTTCCTGCAGATGAGACTGAGGGCGAGCGAGAGCACGGTGGAGCAGCTGAGGAGGAAGAGCACAGGTCATCAAACACATTAAAGACATTAAATTAATTTATTGATAATTTATTTCTTAACATATTGTATTTCATATATTTTGTTGAATATATTGGATTTAAACCCAGCGATGAGGTAAAGAAACGTTGTGTTTTCAGTGCTGGCAGTCAGACTGTGTAACACTGAGAGTCTGATGGAGGAGCTAATAAAACAAACCTCAGGTCAGATTAATTTCTCTGTTATTGATCATCTATAATCTGCATATCAACATGTAATAACTGCTTAATAACAGACTATAAAACAGTTTTAAGTCTTAATGAATGTGCTAACATCTGAAACTGTTAATGAATGAAAATATAACTTAAAATAAGTCTTCATAGTAGAAAATTACGAAATAACATTAATAAACACTTAAATATGTTTTTATATCTGCCTATAAAACAATAAAGACATTAAAGAGTTAATGATGATTTTATTCCGGCTGGCAGAACATAAAGTTCTATGTTTTCTAGAAAAGTTTAGGATTTAAATGTTGAACTATGTGAATCAGAAAAATGGCCCAAATATAAAATACTTTTATTTTTATTGATTGATATATTGTTTGATATATTGATAAGTGACACCGGTTATAAATAAACTGTAGTTTGAATGTTAAACATACTTTTATTTCCCAGCATTCCCGGCCTCCAACAGCTCTGCTTCATCTGAGCTGGAGAGTCGACTGAACGTCCGTCTGGAGGGGCTTGATGCCAACACACGAGGTGACTCAACTGATCGATCATTAGTCAATCATTCTCAGTGTTGAGTGTGAGAGCTGTATGAGGTCATTGTCATAATCAATTACCTCAAAAACAATTTCCTTGTTGGATTTAGATTTAATAACAGCAGATTGTGAACTACAGAGAGAATATTCTATTTTGGAAAAGACCGAATGTAAGAACAGAATTTGCATCCACTTTAACCATCAATATATGGAGAGATAACCTCTCTATCTCCCCCTGGTGGCTGACTGCAGTATATACTCTCTCTCTATCTCCCCCTGGTGGCTGTCTGCAGTATAGACTCTCTCTCTGGTGGCTGACTGCAGTATAGACCCTCTCTATCCAATCTGGCCCCCCATGTTAGCAGGATGGGACACTAATAAGATAACGTCGTTCTTATCTTAAGATAAAAAAAGGCCCGGTTTAAGTCATGATTGACAGCTGAGTCCTGCTCAACATTGAGTTGGCTGGGAATGTGGGTGGGACCTTGATACTGCAGCATCAACCCTGATCACTACGTGAAGACCGACATCTTTATCTGTGGATGGTTGAAAGAGAAACAGAACTGATGGATCTGTAGTTGTAACGATTAGTTGATTAATCTGTTGGCCAATGATCAGAGAACTAATCATTAACTATTTAGACTACTAGAGAGAGAGAGAGAGAGA